ACGTGCTGCTGGAGAAGTGCTGGGATTCAGATTAAACTCTTTAGATCAGCCCAAATCAGATGAGTATGCCGCTGAACTACTTTTTAACCTTCAGTGTACTGTGTTATTAGTAGCTCTTCTTACTGCGAGGCTTTTAGCACTGTGCACCTCCTGTTTGTTTAGAGTTACAATTAATTTGACACGTGGAAGATGACATTGGTTTACTCCAAACTGATGTGTTTACAACACATGAATCAACTTGACTTATTTTGGATTTTTAAATGTGTTGATCCAAACTTGACTTCAGGTTGTCAAACTTCAAGCCAGATCCGAATCACTGAAATAACTAAACCCAAGTCAATAGCGCAGCTTGAAAACATGGCATTGATCCAAATTTCTTGTAAAGTGTGGGTTCAGGTTTCTTGATGAACAGGAGAAATGTATCTGTCATCAAAAAATCACAAGCCACTTAAATCCTGGCTGAACCCCAGTCTCTAAGAGCCAAATAGATTTAAGTGTTTTTCTCCTTTACTATATTGCACCTTCTCTTCCTATTTGCATCACACAGTTTAATTAAAATGTGTTTATTCAGGGCATATGTTGTTATCCAGCTGTAATATTAATACAGTATTTAGTTGAATTCTCTGCCTGTCACATGCACAGTTTATTGCAGAGATTACATAAAGTAGATTTAGTTAAAAATAGTTTGGGACAATTGCCTTTTGATCAGCAGTTATTTCAGGAGCATTGCTGAAAAGCATTAGCTCTCAGTTTTCGCTGCAAGTAATGGCCTGTTTTGAAGTGTTTACTGAACATCAAGATCAATACCATTAACAGATCATTTGCTGCGTATTACAGTAATAGAGGTTGAGGTCAATAGAAAGGGTGAATTAACAAGGTTTCATTCAAGGGTCAGGCATCTGTTCATTTTTTTTCAAACAACACTGCTCCTTCTTCATGGGGGAGGTGGGGGAGAGGTAAGCAGAGTAATCTTGGAGCTAAGCTAGCTCTAAGGTGATGTGGAACGGAATTGAGTCAATCCTCATGTGTGGCAGTCTTATTTGGCCCACAAAATACACAATCAAACCACTTTACAGTATATTCTGTGAAGCACTAAGAGACATCTCAGTAACGTAATAGGGCACTATATTATTATAGGTGAACTGCAGGGGATGAGCAGGTGCTGCAGTATTCCAGGGTACTGCTGATGGCAGATCAGGCAACCTTTCTCATTAACAGGACATGGAGGTCAATCACAGGGAACAGGCTTCATTCAGTTTCTATTAACCCTGCAAGCCAAAGCCCTAATGGGTAGGGTGGTCCTAGCTAGACAAGCAGCAGGAAAGCTTACCAGACAGTGCTCTCAATGTCAAGCTATGTGCTTTCAGTTGGTTGAACTTGTGCAGTAATCCAGTGCACGCTCTGGCAATAGTTCTTGCCAATCTGTGCCCAATACTGTTGAATTAGGTAAGAAGGGTGCATTCCCCAGGGAGAGAGAACTGCAGTGTGTTCCATTTCAGTTACAGGGAAATTTCCGTGTGTACGTGACAGACATATGTGGATCTCTCTGTTTAGTTTGGATAACCTTTAAGCATAGAGATGGGTTTCTGCAATGTATCAGATACTGGCTGCCAAAAAAAAGCTAAAGTTATGAATTAAGTATATTTTTATTTTGAATTTTTAAAACATTCTGGAATATCTTGTGCTAAGAAGCTGTGATTTGCTTTATTTATGGCCACATTCACATTAAGACTGAAATCAACAATGTTACAAGTACTGGACACTCTAAAATGTTACATCAGTGGAGTAAAACTAGACCCGGGTAGAATTTCTCCCCATTTGTACTGAAAGTAATTTATGCAAGTTAGGTATTTAGAGATACATTTGCATCAGATGGAGGCACTTGCACCTCTGGAGCAGAAGGTTATGGTTTCAGTCGCACACTCAAACTTGAGCTCACTTTGCAAACTAGGGTGGACATTGTTTGGGTGAGACATTGCAGAGCTTGTTCAGGTTAAAATCCCATAGCACTATTTTGAAGATAAAAGGAAATTTCTCTTGTCTTGGTGCTTTTGAAATTCATCCAAAAGAAATGTTCAAGTTTGATTATTCATCTCAATGTTGTTTGGAGGACATTGCTGAGACCCAATTATCTGCTGTGTTTGCCTCCACAACAAGAGTCAATGCAGTTCAAAGCCACGCATTGTGAAGGAATTTGAGATGTTTTGACATGTTAAGGCACTGAATCAAATGCAATGTTTTTTATTTCATTAGTACTACTGCTGCAGTCTAGTTACACACATTGGAGCTCCTTAAATAAATCAAAACTGACAATTTTGCCTTTTGCTGCTATCCATAATATATCCACCAAATTGATAGTACCAACAGATCCATTTGTTCTTTTAAATGACATTGCCATCTTGCTAGAATGATGGTATAAGTACATGTGAGATGTGCCACAGCAAAAGACAGTCTTACATCTTTGACCACATTTGCAAAGAGAGGGAGTCTCTCTTTTAAAACAAACTGTGCACGGCCTGTGGAAACAGCATCACAGTAATTCACAGTGCTGTAGCATGGAGATTTTTTTCATGCAAGAAATAGCGCAAATCCATCTATTTTCACCCAGTCTTCCTAAATCACATGTCACTTTTGGCCAAAAGGGTCAGGAATCCAGTCCCAGACCTCCAACAATGGGCAGCTGGAGCCATCTGCAAATAACAGCTGGGAATCTTACACCACCTGATTTTCCTCCTCCTACGGATAAGTGCTGTGCATCAACTTAATTCACCTCACAGCTGCACTTTGAGATCAGCATTCCCAAGGCATTGGATTGAACCTGTGACCCCACTGCCACAGTATCACCCATTGGCGCTCCAATACACAGTAATGCTGTAATGCTCACTTCTAAATACATCTCATTTTCCACAGATGGGCGTAAGCTTTCAGAAGAAAGAAAAAAGACTTGTAAGCATTTACTGAGCCCTTCATCTGGTCAAAACAGCTCAATATACTTTACATTCATTACTGTCAAGAGTAATAATAATCTAATAATCCTTGCATTTGATATAGCGCCTTATCACGTTGTTGAGATTACTCAAAGTGCTTCCCAGAACATACTGTTAAGGGAATTGCCTGTATATTTTGTGGGTGAAATGCAGCAGCCAATTACACATAGCAGTATCCCACAAACACTGTTGCACTAATTTAAAAAATAAAGGAATTATTATCTCTGGGAAGCAATCCGTCAATTGACTAACAACCGGGTTCCTATTTACTACTAGGTAAACAAAGGCGTGTGGAGTAAGGAAACTTGCCTAAGATTTCTTCCCTGCTTGGAAATCAAACTCGGGTCCTCTCACTCGCAAGGCAAGCGCTCTAACCAATATGCTACAGGTGCACATTTTTTCGTGAATCAAAACATTTGTAAAATTATTAAGATTTCAAACTGGCCACTCAAAGTGCATTTGCCAACTCGAGTTTCATATAATCCTGTAGTTGAGTGTTCGTCAGTCACATGATATCTTTTAATAAACAGTCTCTGTACAAATTTCCACTGGGCTGCCTAATGAGGGCTCAAGAGATAATTGGATTTTATGCTGTATATGTGTCTGATGAAAAATAAACTACCTGTGGGAATAATCTCTTAAACCTGACCTACTTCTGCTTCGCCGTTCAGCAGGGGACCAGATGGACTTGTTCCTCAGTGCAAGCGGAAGAGCTTGCAGTTTGAGGCAGGTGCAATTTTTACTTCCATCAGTCTGAAGAGACAGCAATTTAAACAGAGGAAGAGAACAAGCCATTGTTTTTTAACAATATTGTATGGAGATTCTCCTAATCAAACAAAATCATTTGCTTAATAGTCCCAAGTCAAACCTGCAAATGCTCTTTTACTTGTCTTCTTAAACTTCCCCTATCCCCCCAGTTTGTAATCCCCCAAACAGTACCTTTGTTAGTCGATATTATTCAGTTAGTCGATGTTATTTACTTTTCTGATATAAATTCACTGCATATTATATGAATTATTTAAAACTTACCACCCTTGTGATAAAGAAGATATAGAGGGATAGGGTATATTCTACATGTATACTGCTGGAAGTGGATCTGTATCACTGAATTGATCAGGAGTGAAAAAGTAATGTATTCCCCCTACTTCATGTAACATTGCGGCTGTTACCATAAAATGTTTCAGGCTGTTTAACAGACCAGCCAAGAGCTTTCAGTGGATCACGGAGTAGAACACACCGATTTGCACCCACTGAGTTAATACAGCAGAAGGGCCTGCTCCCACTGCTCTACAAACAATCTCCTCCAGGTAGAATACAGTTGCCGAGTGATATGATTGCTTGCCAAATCATCTCCACCAGGTACAGTTCCACAGGGGAGCATTCTCACTGCTGAGAAATCACCTCCACCAGATAAAATATCCCGGGGGAATGTTCTCACTGCTCAGAAATCACCTCCACCAGGTACAATATCCCAGGGGAATAATTGCACTGTTCAGAGTCAGGAACATGGTTTCAGCACAATTCACAGTGTCTTTGGCCCCAGTTGTACAGTGGGTTTGATGATTCATCATGAAACCTGCGGTACAGAAAGGCAGCATTTTGAATCTTTTCAGAGCTCGCTAAAAAGAACAAACACCACTGAAGCAAACTGCCAGGTACTGTTCACACCTTAGATATGTGCGTAGCACTTCTCTTCAGAGGACATTATGGTACTTGGGGGAAATGATACCAGGTGGCAAATTAGTGGAACAACCAGTCAGTGAAGTCTCTTGATTGATTGTGGTTGGAAGCAGGCAGATTCTGCTGATAATAGAAAGCTTTATCTGCTTTCATGCACTTTTTCTCTATATAGATTGAACAAAAATAACTTTCAATGTGACGCATCTTTGGCAAAGCATGGTACGAGAAACGATTATATGATTATGTCCTAGTGTAATGAAGGTTGAAATAATTTTTAAACAGTTTCCAAGGCATTTTACCAAGGTGACAGTGGCTCTTTACATAGCCATTACTGACTGCATAAGGTATCTTGCAATAACGTGGTACAGCTTTCTAAGCAGGTATGTATACTGTTTGTTGCTCCATATAGTTTGTCTAGTTATATACTAATAATATAACTTGATTTGATATAGTGCCTCATTGTGTCATTGAGACATCTCAAAGCGCTTCACAGGACTTTACTGTAGCGATGTATATGTGCCAGCTTCTGCTATTGTTTATTCATAAGGATCATTAACGTAGCAGGAACAATAATGTTATATAGGTTTTGTATGCTAAAAAAAAGGATTTTGGATTTCAAAATCAAATAGTGAAAATTGTTTTTTACCGATTGATTTTCACCAGAAAAAAAGGGTATTTATAGATGAACATTAGCACAAGAAAAAATATAACTTTGCAAACTTTATCCTATAATCCAGTTCTGGTTTATCGTTTGTTGATTTGCAAGCCTGCCCCCAGCCCAGAATACAATTTTGTTCTAAAAACACAAAATTCTTCCAAAGAAATGGAACCGGCATATCAACAAATTCTGAGACAAACAAGTCCGAGCTTCTGGTACAATTTATTTTGTGTGTCAGAGGAACTAAATTTGCCGGATTATTCTTGCCAATGGAGTTGCTATTCCCCTTTAAGGACTAAAATAACTGATTAATGTTTGACAAGTTTANTTTTTTTATTTTGCATTTCTGTAAATGAATATTCTGAACAATTGAAGCAATTGAAATGCTCTTGAAGATTCTGGGTAACTGTGAATCATAGAAAAACATATGGGAGTGAAAATGTTTTAAAATCATTTCCGCTAATGAAGGTGAATGAGGAATAAACATTATGCTATTCTGGAGCGCAATTTAAATATGAATGAAGTAAGTTAGAGTAACTAATGAACATAAAATCCTGCAGTGTGGCACTGAACTGTTGTGGCTAATCTTTATTCATTTCTTTTGTGATGTATGTGCTACACCACATTGAGCTAATTATGTGGTACAAATATAATTAACTTTTGAGATGGAGCATAGGCTGTTTGGTTATTGTTCACATTCACTTCACAGACTCCTGCGCACTTTGGAAAGCTCATTTCTCTTTTTGTTATGTTAGCAGGTTAATCTGTCTTATTGACTGGGATTGTTCCAGTTTTCTAATTGACTGCTTGTCATTTTATACACTGTTGTGTTTTTCTACCTGCAATGACCTTTTGGCTGTGTCATTGATTGATGTTATGTGGCTTAGTTGCTCTGACTAACTGATGAGCTGACTAATATAAATGTACACTTGGGAATATTAACAGTGTCGTCGAATTCTCTTTAACAAAACTTTATGATCTAATTAATGGAAGCAATAGAGAACATTCTAATGTTGTGTTGCCTTTCCGTTGGTACATACTTTAAGGTTTCCTGACATGTTAACTTGTGAGATGAGAGTTATGATAAATAGAGTGCACAAATGTTTGAAGTATTATATGCAGATAGTGATCCAGACCCATATCCTTTGGGTAAGCCTGTACAAGTCTATGTTACAGTATTACCGTTCGAACAAGATCTGTAAACCACTTGCGCAATTAAAATCAGTTTTCATACGTAGTTTTAATTATCAACTAGAAGTTAAACATTAATGGGTAAAGCTTCAAATGAATACAACACAGTAAATAGGACTATGAGACCTCTTTGTACTAATCAATTACTATCTGTGTGAGTTGCACAGTGACGTATTAATAATAATAATCCTTATATTTGATATAGCTCCTTTCAGGTTGGGAGGTGGTTTTAAAGCCAGCAGCAGACTATATGGGAAGTTTCCTGAGCACCTCCTTGATTGGCTCCCAAGTGCACCCCCACCATGCATCGCATCCCTATTTTACATCACAAGCCCTTTTGGGGAGCCAGTCCACCACTGCTTAAATAACTTCACCGGATATACTGTAAATTGTATCTAGGTGATTTTTCACCATGACTTGAGGAGAAACTCCCTTCTCTTGTTGAATAGTATTATTGTGTGTTTAATGTCCATGTAAGCAGACAGATTGAACCTTAATTTAATACCTCAAGGATGACAACTCCCAACAATTAGGCAGTGTGGCACTGGGATGTCAGCCTAGACGGTGAGCTTAAAGTCCCTTCATTCTATTTGATATTTTTTTCTTAATCATCAGCTCATTAAGTACTTTTAATGGTTTGAATCCTACCATTAAAATCATGCATTTCACAAACTGGTGAATCTTTTTATGTAGACTAGCCCACTGCACAAAATAGATACTTTTCTACTGGCAGCATACCAATAGGGAGCGGAAAGCTGAATTTTCTTCCTGCTCTACATTGCCTTGACTCTGAGCCAGAAAAAAAGCAAACGTCTAATTTTGACTTGATGTTCACCTTGAAGCATGCGAAGAGCAGTGAAATTGGATTTTTTTTTAAAAAGTCAAACAAGAATAATATGGTAAGCAATTTAATAATATATTGTTAAATAGTCACAGAAATCAGAAGAGATGTCCTGGATGAGGGAGGAGGGAAAAATCAAAGGGAAAAATCCCTGGGTGAAAGCAGCAGTGTTCTGTCAAGTAGACACAGGTGGAGCACGAGTCTTACTGTGGAAAGAAGCCATAGCTTTTCTGATGATCTGAGAATTTAATATAACACTATGCATCTTGCAACTAATGTTTGTTGGAATAATTTGTGTGTTGCAGTTCAGCACCAGATATATGCAGCAGATTGCCTATTTGTCTTGATTTGTTTCCTAGTATGTTAACTTCCCCATGCTGAATGTCTGTCTAAATTATCACTTGACAGAACATATAGCCCTGACTTTTGGTCAACCTTGATTTTCCTAATGGACGAATATAATTTGCCCATGACAGCAGGCCCAGGAGTCACAGTGGGAGGGAGGCCTGATTTTGTGTGACTGATGTTGTTCAAACAGCACATTGACTGTCATTGATCACACTTGTTAACACTTATTCAGAGGAGCTCTGGATGAACCTGGAGGAATGGAATAAATGAGGCATGAACTGCAGTCACTGTTGTTTGCTGGTTATAAACATTGGTCCATCTCTTGAACTGTAATTCACTTTTGCAGAAGTTGAGATTGTTTTTGAACTTTTTATGGTCATTCAGTTCACATAGTCCCTGGAATGTTTTCAACACTGAAATTTGAACGAGTCAGAAATTCCAGTCCAGACTAATCAGAAGAAAGTCTCTTCTGTCCTTTGACTATAAGAGTCTTATGTGAAATGAGTTTGGGCAGTCTGATTGTGGGCATGGGTCCACTGGACAAAACTGCAAATAACTTGGCATAAACTTGACCATCACAGCTCGAGACACCACAGGATAATGGGTGTTGAGGGAAATCATATGTTGTCAAGGCAGAGTAAAGATAGCCATTATTTTTCAACAGTCCTAATTCTGAACAACTGTAAATTTAGCTGCCCAACATGAGAATACATCTCCCAGTGCAAGCTTACCTTATCTTCATGATTGTGAAATGCAACTTTTTTAAAAAAAGTATAAGCAATAGTTCTACAGATCATTTAGGTTAAATAATAATAAGTTTGCCACTTCAATCCATGACTGTTTGTGGAACACTGCACAAATGGCTGCCACATTTCACCCACAAAATATACAGTATATTCTGTGAAGCGTTTGAGACATCTCAAAGACGTGATAAGGCGCTATACCAAACGCAAGTATTATTATTATAACTCTTGTTATGTTAATTTGCAAAAGATCTTAGCTGTTCATGCACCACAGAAAGGCCCCATATCCTCCATCCAACAACTTAGTCACTTCAGCCTTTCTAATGGCAACCATAGAATATTCCATCATTTTTAGTTCTAATAACCACAGTTACAGTTCAAATGCAAGCAGATGTTCTCAGAACATTATCAGTATTTGTTTTGTAATTTACCTCTATTTGTACGACTGTGGAAATATGTGAAATCTGACAGAACAACATCCTTGTCACTTGGTATTAAAGGTAAGACGTGAATATGGATGAGTAACAGATTAAACGGAAGGACGTCAAGTGTAGTCATAAGGGGAGCAAGTGGAAATGGGCAGAGATGTTGAATGAAGTGACTCAGGGATCAAAGTTAAGACCACTTAGCATACGTAAATAACCTGGATTCCTAGATTCAGTGTGAAGTACAGTAGTTAAATGTATAAATGACAAATTAGGGGGACAGTGGAATCAAAGGAGGCAGCCAAGATCTTCCAAAGAGAGCTTGACAGAACATGCACTAACAAATTAAATTAGATACACATAACTGCAAGTTACAAGATCTAAGAAGTAAAACTAGGAGGCTAGTTATATTACCATATCAGTTGAGTTCAGTATCTCAGAAGTCATACTCAAATTGCCCAGTGCTCTAGTCAGGCTGCACCTGGAGAATTGCAGACAGTTATGGTTGCAACAAAAGAAGGTCAGACCCAGTCTGCATGAGAGCAAGGAGGATAACAACAACAACTTGCACTTATATAGCACCCTCCACGCAGGGCAGTGTCTCAGAGCGCTAAACAATGGTGGAGCCTGATTCCGAGCTGGTGAGGGCGGGGGAGTGGAAACGCGGTTGAAAAGGAAGGTTTCAAAACGAGACTTGAAAGAGGAGAGTGTGGGGGGCGAGATGGAGGGATTGAGCGAGAGTGTTTCAAAGTATCGGGCTATAGTGGTTGAAAGAGTGATCTGCAATGGTAGAGCGGAGGGTGTGAGGGACTAGCAGTTGAGGGGAGGTGCCGGGTGGTGGATTGGGGAGTGAGGAGGTTGGCGAGGTAGGGAGGTGCCAGGGAGTGATGTGATTTGAACACGAGTATAAGGATCTTGAAGTTGATCCATTCGGCGATGGGGTGCCAGTGGAGCCTGGCCAGAACTGGTGAGATGTTGCGGGTATGTGGGTGGCAGAGTTCTGAATGAGCTGGATTTTTTAATAATGGAGCTGGGGAGTCTGGTGAGGAGTGAGTTTGAGTAATCCAGGCGGGAGGTGACAAACACATGCACGAGGGTTTGGGCTGCATTTGGGGTAAGGTACAGTCAGAGGCGGGCAATGTGGCGGAGGTGGAAGAAGGCGGTCCTGGTCAGG